CAGCTGTGGGCAGTGTCTGAGCAGAGAAGCAGCAGAGTCAGGTTGGTGTTTTGGAAAGATCACCCTGACTGCACTTGTGAGAGCATGATGTTCATGGTCTATAAAATCATCTATCCTCAGGTAAGACTTTTGTCTATGGAGTAAATTCTCCAATGAAGGATATCAAGGCCCTTACTAGCTTTTATTTAGACATATAAGTTTCACAGCCAAATCAACACACACTAAGTCATTATAAACAATTTCTACTAGTAAGTGTTCTGCATTCTCCATGAGCGTCACTGAAGAAGTAGAACGTTCTTACCACCCCACCAGGGGATATCTGAGAGCTGGTTATGCCAGCCTAAGCTTGAGTCCAGGAAGAACAGGACCCTCTCAGAGTCACCAGGGTAATTTATGTGGTCAACTGTCCATACAGCAGAACCATTTTTACTGGACTTTGACCCCCACAAAGGCATATTTAGTGTCCTGGAGATTTTACAAAGGCCCAGAGTTCTTTCTGTACACTGGACCCTGGTTGGCCAGGTTGACTTACATGAGAAATACCCACCACTGTCCTGCAGCCTGCCTCACTTCTGTACTGATGCACAGTCAGTCATGCTCACAGCATGTCATCTTCCTGCTGCACAGTCTTCTCACTTCTCAGTGGCCTCTCTCCTGGGCCCTGCTGGGGACCTCCAGCTCCAACCTCCTTCTTGTGTATCATATTTTTCTTTTGGGTTTTTACAAAGTTTCTCTGTGTAGTTTTGGAGCCTGTCATGGATCTCATTCTGTAGACCAGGATGGCCTCAAACTCACAGAGATCTGCCTCTCTCTGCTTCTCGAGTGCTGGGATTGAAGGCTGTGCCACCACTGCCTGGGGATTCTCATAATTGGTACTGGAAAAGTGGCCCAGCTTGTCCCTAGACCATCTCGTGGCCATGCCTCTACCATCTCTTTCACAGCTACACTTCCCTGGAACTCACTTCAGCCTCCCACCCTCTCCTTCCTCAGGATACTATCCTTCTAGATGTCTTCCCTCCCAGCTTTCAGTCCTGGCCTCCGTCTATATCATCCCTTGTCTCTCTCGACCATATGTCTCATACAAACAGCAGAAAGAGTCCTTGCTGAGTCCCTGTAGGAAGAAACCTGCAACCAGAAACAGGACCTAAGGCCTGGATACAGCAAGAATGCTCCAGGTCCTGTTGCTGGGATACAGCATACCAGAGGGGTTAAGGTAGAACACTCCAAAGTCATGTGGCTCATTGAAGGCCTGAAGGGAGGATCCCTGACCTGTCCACTCCTTTCCTGGTTCAGAGAGGGGCTCACTCTTCATTATTTCTACACAAGACACCAGTATACACACAAAAAGAGAGAGGGAGAGGGGAAAGATAGAGAGAGGGAGAGACAGAGAGAGAGAGCAGTTGTGGCTCAGATGAACTATGTGGCAGCCTCTGACTTTCCTGACAAAGACATGATTATCACTTGATGGCTTGAAAGCTCAGGTCATGGAGTGCTGAGCAGAGAAAGGACATAGTGAGCTCTGACTAAGTGGGCAGTGCAGGGGTCAGTGTATCCTGTCCTGTGAGCCACAAAGGCCCCATGGGGGAGCCAGCCTGGGCACGGCTGGCTCACCGATTTTCAGGTTTCCCTAACAATGCTGACCACGGGTGTGTGGAAGATGACTCAAATCTAGGAAAGCTTCCACATTTATTATTCTTTCTGTATGTGATGTCATACACAGATAAAAGCTCATCAAAGAATTCATTCTGTCAATTATGTTTCTTCTTTTTTTCTTTAAGAAATTTTGTTCATTTTACACACCAACCACAGATCCCTGTCTCTTCTCGCCTCATGCTTCCCCCAGCATTCCCCCAACCTACCTCCCTATCCCCACCCCCAAAAAGTTAAGGCTCCCATGGGGAGTCAGCAGAGCCTGGTCCATTCAGTTGAGGAAGGTCCAAGACCCTCCCCTCTGTACCAAGGCTGTGCAAGGTGTCCCATCATAGGTAATGAGCTCCCAAAAGACGCACAGGCACCAGGTATAGATCCTGATCCCACAATTGTGTTTCTTCTTAGAGCTGATAAATTGCTTCTAAAATTGCTCATTTGAATTATCTCAACACTCTTCAAGGTAAACTTAATATTGTCCTGGGTTTCAGTTAAGCAGTGATACAGGCTTTTTTTTTTTTAATTGTGCTCATCTATAAAACAGACTTAGAATTCATTTGTGTTTTTTTTCCAGGCAGTAACTAGCTTAATGAAACGTTTTGGACCATTTTCCTTTTATGTTTTCCATATTTCTACAACTACTCTTACATTCTGCAGATTAGACTCTCTCTAGGGGATGGGACAATGGGATGGGAGGGCTTTGTCTACATACGTTTCTGCCTGTGAATGTTGTGACTGTGAATGCACCTGTGTGTGGATATGTACATGCTGACAAAGAAATCCCTCAGGAAAATCTGTGTGCAGGTAGGTTTCCCATCTAATAACTATGATGAGCAAAGTCCCATGGGAAAATTGTGTAGAAACTCCACAATCACATTCTTTAACCTGAAGCAGTGGTTCTCAACTTGTGGGTTGCTGCCCCTTTTAATTTTGGGGTTCACAGACCTTTAAAAGACCATTGTTAAACAAAGATATTATATTATGATTCATACCAGTAGCAAAATTACAATTAGGAAGTAACAATGAAAATGGTTGGGGTCACCACAGCATGGGCAACTATACTAAAGGGCCACAGCATTAGGAAGGTTGAGAATCACTGACCTAAAGCATTGAGCATGTAACTAAACAAGAAAGAGCCACAAGATTTCATTAATGCATTTCAATCATGGAGAGTCCCTCACGGATTATAACTTATAAGAAAATCACACAGAGTTGCAATTGGGCTCATGAATCACTGCTGTTCCACAGCAAACGCTACATATGGGTACAGGTTCACTGTCATTGCCCAGATATGTAGGAATGGGCAACTAGATATCAGCAGGCAAGCAGTAGACATCCTAAGGAGTCAACAGAGTGGAGTCCCTTCCCCAGGTCCAAGATGGGGACAGCAGAGTCAAGAGGACCAAGGGTAAAGGCAGAGACAGGTGCTGGTTTCCAGACTCACATAGATAACAGATTGGAGCATTGCAGGCCTTGGTGTTTACCTGTGTTAGCTACTCCCATAGTGCACCCCACAGCTCCTCTGGGTTACACAGCAAGCATTCATCTTTTAGGGTGCTGAATCACCCATCAGAGAGGAATATCCCCCTGCATCACTCTTTGCTAAGTCCTGGGAGCAAACTGCCAGAAATAAAAGAACACACCCAGTGTCCTGTGAGCTCTGTAGAAAGGGGAGGAAATGAACAGTCTCTGGGGCACCCTGAATGCATGATTACTTACCTGCTTCAAAACAACCCTGTGAACAGCACATAGGGAAATTTATCTCAGAATCTGGGGTTGGTATGGATGCAGGAGCTAGGTCTCTGTCCTTAGTGAGGAAAAAGCACTCACGTTCAAATTTCTAAGTTGCTCGCATATGTTGCAGGGATGCTAGGGCTAAAAGGAGGGTTGGTTTGAAACAGCCAAGCCAGGAACACTGAAGATGAGACACAAAGAGTTTCTGCGATCAGTAGGACAGTCAAGCTGTCTCACACTGATAAAGACGGGGCTCCCAGCTAGTGTGGGCAGTCCAACCAGGCCACCAAGTTCCTCAGGAAAGCACACATGGCACTATTGGCTCCTTAAATAGCCTGGCTTCTACAGCAGCTAATTGTGAGAGTGAGTAAAGTCTGTGTCTAAGAAAGCCTCCCATTTCAGTGTTTCAGGGAAGCCTTTCACAAAGACCCAGGAGATAAGAAGAAGAGGAAGGACAGTTGCAGCTGCTTCTTGGTGACTGAGAAGAAAGAGAGCTGAGGATAATTAAAAGCACCTGGACAGCTGAAATGTCAGAGGATGCAAGAGCACCCAGTGTCTAATGGAGACAAGAAAGTCAAGGCTCAAAACTCACGAAGCCCTAGTCAGGGATGGACAAAGGGGCCTGTGGTGGTGGGGGGGTGGTTGAGCCACCCCTGACAAGGTGGGCAATAGGTAAACAGAGCATGATCATCTCCTTGATGTGGGCTAGACCATGTGGACCGTGGGACCTCCAGTATCTCAGCCTATGCTATCCCAGAGAACCAACCATCTCCTAACAATTACCTCAGCCATTGTCCAGACTCTGCCATGATCCTATTAAAAACAAAAACCATGAAATGACAGAGCTCAGTAGCTCTTTTAAATTTTGGGAATGTCACCTACTCTGAGGAGTCTCTCTAACTTTTCCTCAGTTCTGCCCCTTCCTGCAATGATGCTTTGTAGAGCTGAATCCAGAATTGCTTACTCCTCCTGTCATTCACCTTCACAGCTGTGAGACAGGTTTGGAGCCAGTACCTAGGGTCGATCTTTGATGTCCTCAGGTATCTGGGTCACCCTAGGACTTTGGTCAAGCACAGCTATGTAGAGCAAGGTCTCCATCAGAATGAGCTTGTGAATACCAGTGGAATTCAGCCCTGTTGGGAGCACAGTCTCTCAGGAGGATCTTGCCCTGGCCTACCCACATATTTGCCATCATACTGGGCTCTTCAAGACAGCACATCCAAGATTGGGGCTTTTTGTTTGAAGGACTTTTCCTTAATTTAATAAAATGATTTACCTGGGCTCAAGGGCCTGCTGAGTTTGAGAAGGTCTTTGTGTTACTCCCTGTGACTGAATTTGAACAGTCCAGCCTTACCCAAAACTAGAGGTGTCAGCTAAGGAGCAACCCAGAGCCACAGGTTCCGCACCCCCACCCCATACACACTCACTGCATTTTTTAAAGTACTCCCTGCTCTTTCAGCCCTAATGTGCTTCAGGCTAGACACCTCAGAGGACAAGCCCACAGCCACTGAGCCTGTGCAGGCCAGAATGTGATTGGTCACATTGTAATTACGTTGAGTGTCCAGAAGACAAGCTTTCCCGGTCAAGAGTCACAGCTGTACCTGTGGCTCCAGACAGCGAGGACGTGGCTATAAAGCTTCGGAACTCGGGTCTGATTGAAAGATTCCCCGCACAGAGACTCGCCAGGGCTGCAGCCAGTGTTTCAACAGGATGCTGAGTCAAGGAGGTGATGAGCAACAGGAACAACAGTATGATCAGTAAAATGGTTCTGATTGGACTTGGGCAAAATCCGGGGAGCAAATCTGTTGGAAAGGCCAGTGGCCATGCACTTCGATTACCCAGCTCTGCCCGTGGCCCCTCTCTAGGCTTTCCAATGATCCATGGCCAAGATGCTCAGATCTTTATCTTTGTGTTTTTATCTCTAGCAGGTGAGAATGCAGTAGTCCTGAAGGCTGGAGAGAAAGGAGGCAAGAGAGGGCTTGTATAGAGCAAGCTTGCTCAGGGTGAGCTTGATCAGGGCAAACTTGCTCCAAGCAAGCATGCTCATGAAGAGCTTGCTCAGTCCGATCTTGCTCAGGAAGCCACAGGAGTGGTAGAGGAGGGAGAAAAGGAAGAAGAAATGGAAGGAGCACATGCTGGCAATGGTAGTTCTGGCCCCATGGACAAGGGGATCCAGGCAGAAGGTGGCCATGGCAGCAGTGTTCAACAGCAACCTCAGCAAGAGGCGGCAATGCCTGAGGGCACCATGGGTCTCCAGGCTGGGGATTTCCAGAGCCACACCAGATTCACCCAGTCTCAGCTGCAGGACCTGGAGCAATTTTTCGAAGAGAATCACTTCCCCAGCTTTCAAGTAAGGTAAGCAGAACGCCCTGCTAGGTGCCTTGTTTTCAGGCAGTGCATCCAGGCTGTGCTTTGGTGCTCCCTGAATCCCTCATTTCCTCTAGAAACAAAGCCACCATGTCTGGACCCTCCAGCAGAAATTGGATTCTGGAGTAGGAAGATGTGCCCTTGTCCAACTGGAAAGACTGTCTTCTGTTGCCTCTTTAAGTGGCACTTGAGTGGGAAATTTAGACAGTGCTTTTTCTAAACGAGTCTCTGTAAGAATGAGTGAGAAGCCTGAGGTGTGGCTGGGAAAATGCAGGAGGGATTCCAGCTCAGATTAAAATTTGACTAACAGTTTATGTCGTGGAGGATCTCTTAATGAAGCTTTACATGTTAAGTACATGGGCAACATACCTGTGTTTGGGGGGTACACTTAATTTTGATATCTGAAAGAAACATGTTACAAAATAAGTCGCAAAATAGTTGTGAGGAATACTGTATGTGGGGCAGTTGGAGTGTGTGTTTGTGTGTGTGTGTATGTATGTGTGTGTCTGTGTGTGTGAGCACGCACACATTTAAAAGGAATCAGAATATGTCCTTATATAGTTTGTTTCCACCACAATGCCTAAATATTGGAATCTTTTCACTTCAGGAAGGCTCTTGCAAGATCTCTGGGTGTGACAGAAGAAGATGTGCAGGTCAGTATTTAAAAAAAATGTTTTGTAAGGGCTCCACATTTTGTGATGTTGTTGTCTAGAGGATAATTATAGCAGAAGAGTGGGACCCTGAAGTTGTATCCCAAGGACGCCAGACAAGTCCACAGCCGGGCTAGGCTCAAGATGATGAAAGACCTCCATTTTCTCAGGCAGGAAATGCCAACCTGGACACCTGAAACCTCAGATGCCACGGTGCTTTGTCTGTCCCTTGGTGGACATAGTGTGTTCTCCATGACCTTCTGAAGGCTGTGCAGCCTGCATGCCTCACTTAAGTGAAGAGACCATGTTCTTGCCCACTTTCAATTCTTTCACTCTGCGTGTCTCAGAAAACCTTTTCTCAGACTTCTTCTGTTCTAGTCTGTAAATGTCACATGCCTGGCTTAGTTCTCAATCAATACTGGGACCAGGAAGCTCTAATGTCCCATAGACCTTTTACCTGTCTTTTGTTGGTTACTTATGTGAACTGTGCTCACCATTACAATCAGCCCTGGCTTTTCCAGACCACATGCCTACAAGGGAAAAGGCCTACAGATAGTATGCTTGGAGGCTAGGGAGGAAGCATAGAGCAGGAAGAAGTGCCCTTTGTCTCATAAAATGTGCATTCTGGGTACTCACAAAAGGCTATCACCATGGAGCCTTTCACAGACAGCTTTGGGCCTTAAGATAGTTCTCCGGGGTTTTTGATACTTTTCAACACACAGCAGGGACCAGGAACAACCCACTAGCTAGATCTGCATTCTCTTCTGAACAAATGCATTAAAAATATCAATTAATGGAGTGAAGAGTCAATATTCTAGGTCTGTCCCATAGCTGAAGGACTGGGTGTGGTGGTACATGTCCTCACCGGCTTCATGGGGGTGTTTTGACTGTTTCCATGAGAATGAAACCTGTTGCTTCCAGCATTCTGAACAATCAGTACACACTTGAGGTAAGTCTTCAGTCTTTCTTAGGGTTAGATAGATAAACAGTTCCTGGGCAATCAGAAATGTGGTGCTTTTCTAGGGGAGTAGCTCTGTCCTGGAGCACATACCTAGCACACTCTGGCCCAGGGATGGAATCCATATATATTCTAAAATGTTAGTAAAATTGAGCCAGTATACCAGGTTACAGCATGTGTTCTTCAGTGGTGGTACAGTTTAGTGTACGAAAGGAACCCTTTCTTCTGCTTGTAGGAATGGTTTAGGACCAGGAGAGCCATTTTGAGGAGAAGCAATAGAATGGTGGTGCTGATTGATGCACCACCTGTTCCCCAGAACAACGATCCCTGAAGATTTTGGAGCAGCGCATGAGTGCCACCTCTGTTGTGAGTCAGATGACCTGGAACCTGGCCCCGCCCCCAGTGTCTTGGCCACCCATGCTGGCCATGACATCCTTTTCTTCCCTGCAATTATCTCAGCAATAAAGAGGTGGATTCTCAGTATGTTGGTTCTATTTTTTTCAGGATACTAAAATATGGGTATAAGTATTTGAACCATAGTAGCATATTACAGAAATGGCATTTATGGCAGAAGGAGACACTGGCAAACTGTGGTCACTATGCCTTGCTGAGTGAGAAAGATTTCCAGGTGCTATGCTGCTTCATGCTGACTCCACATGGTTCTCTGTCCCCTCATCATGGCCTTGTCAACTCACTCCAGCTCTGTGGAACAATTATTTCTAATGTCAGGTGGGGCAAGTCCCCGGTACAGGACACTGTGTTTCTTCTATTCATGGCTGTTCCCACCCACAGTCAGGGTGCCAGTCCCAATAGCCAGAAGAACGAGCATCCACCACAGAAGCCATTTCCTGAGAGCATAGGGAGCACCAAGGCTGTGCAGCTTTGTGATCTGTGTACAGCATATGTCACATTTGGTGCCCCGAGTACAGTGTGTGTGTCAGTAACAGTGCCTGGTGTACAGCCTGTGCCAGGTCCAGTGCCCCAGGTACAGCCTATGCCGGTTCCTGTGCCCCAGGTACAGCCTGTGCCTGTTACTGTGCCCCAGGTACAGCCTGTGCCTGTTCCTGTGCCCCAGGTACAGCCTGTGCCTGTTACTGTCAGCATGTACAGCCTGTGCCATTACAGGACCGCATGTCCAGCCTGTGTCAGTTCTGACGCCCAATGCACAGTCCATTCCAGTTACAGTGCCCAAAATGCAGCCTGTGCCAGCATGGGGGTCCTGCCGTTGCCTCTGTGACAGGGCTACAGCTGCAGGAGTTGGAACACCTTTTCCAGAGAAATCACAATCCAGGGTAAGCACCTTGTGTGGCTTCAAGTCCTTTCATAGGGAACAGGCTGGTACAGAGAGGCCTCTGGCTCCTGGCAGCTGTCCTTCTTGTCTTCATTTACTGAAAAGTTCAAATCACATTTTGAAGTTTTGTTTTGTCTTGGAATGAGTGTGGGGGGACAAGAGGAGCTGTGTCTCACATTGGGAGGTCAGAGGACAGCTGGAAGGACGTGGTTCTCTCCTTGCAGGATGTGGGTCCTGGGCTCAAAATCATCTCCTCAGGTTGGCAGGCAGGCATGTTCATCTGCTGGCCATTTTGTCTGCCTCCATTTTGCCCGCCAGAACTAAAGCCACCCACACATTCCAGCCTGCAAGACCCCTGCCTTGCTGTCCTATGGTTCCACACAGGAGTGGGAGCCATGTAAACTGGGAGTGGAGCTGTTCTCATGTAGTTTTTAGGTGGAACAATTAGAAACGTTTTGCTGGAGAAGCCTGAGTTGTGGTTGGGATAATTCAGAGTACCACACTGCCTTTGTTTATAATGTTGATACATTTGTATCCTTCCCCTCCCTCCTCCTCTCCTCACATGGATCAGTCTCGTCTCATCCACTCTGGTCTCTCCCAGATGTCCCTGCCTCTGGTTAGGCTCTCCCACAAATCTATTATAGACTTTTCTTTCACTACACTAGGTGCAAGTCATGTTCCTACTTCTTTATGTCCTTTTTACATTCAGTATTTAAATCAATATATATGTATGAGTACATTCAAGTCCTTTAATGCTGGTATCCTTTGGATTTTCTATGGAGCAGTCCTGGGGTTATGGCCAATAAAGGATTCAAATTAGTGTAACTGCGTGTTCCATGATCCTAAAATGTTTGAAATACTGAAAAGTAAGCATGGATTCTATCCATATAGGAGTAATTTGGGTGTGTGGATAGTGGACAGGCAGAACCCGGCACTGATAATGTTGATGTAAGCTTGGTTAAACAGAGACTGAAGGGAATGGGAAAGCATGGATTCCAAATGCCTGGTCCCTCTGCTGTTTTGAAGCATCTGGAGAGGCCACACATATAAGGACACCCAGCTTTGTAATTATCAGAAGCACGCTGGTGCATCTGCCTGAAAATCCTGCTCACTTCCCTCAGGATAAATAACTGTAGGAAGGGGGGAAGGGCATGCAACGTTTGGACATTTGTCCAGGGTCTATTCTGCATTGCTGCGGTGGAATCCAGAGCCTCCCACATTCTAGGCAAGCAGTGGACTCTGTCCCAGCCCCTCAGCTTCACACAGCACTAGAGTAGGGAGACAACAGGTTCTTCTGTGCAATCTAAATTATAGAGAGCAGCTAATGTCACAGGATGTCTTTTCTGATTATATTCTGATTACCCTACTGAACAAATCCCTCTTCCCTCTCATTGCAGAGATGGTTCAGGAAGAGGAGAGAACAGATCTGGTGAGGGAAGAATCTGCCAGGACTTAGCAGTGCTCCTCCTGGGACACGCTCCACCTCAATCTACAGATTGTGCAGGTGCTCAACTGTGCCAGCCTTGACCAGGATCCACTTGTAGATACATTTTTGTCTTCCACCCACATGTTGATACATCTTTCTTCCCTAAGAACCTGTATTTGAAATAAATGGTCTTTCTTCATGTGTCTTCTGCATTAGTATGGTATGTATGACAGTTATCAAGGAAATGCCATTTAAAGAAAATGACAAGGTCTCCTTCTGTGGGGGGGGACATCACAGAGTAAGCATCAGTAGACATTTATGTCAAGGGAGATTGTCAAGGGGTGTTTACATTGACCCATGAATTCTCCTGTCCTCTATCATAGTTTTTTCATCCTCACCCTGACCATGTTGTACCACACATGGGCAAGAGGGACATTGAAAATCTCTAGGGAGGTGGTGTTTATCCAGACAGAGATGGTTCTGGCCGTAACTGGGATTTCATACCATCCATAGAATCTGAGAGAACCAATTTTGTCTGTTTCTTTTTATATTATTTTGGTTTTTCTTTTCTTTTTCCAGTGGACAAAGTGTCTGTTGTGGTGCCAAGTTTTTTGTCAAGTAGCCAGAAGCTAGACGCATCTAGAAAGAGGGATTCTCCATTGGAAATAGGCTCCATGCAGTAAGCAATTCTGAGGAGCTTTTCCTGGATTAATGATTGACATGGAAGGGTCCCTCCCACTGTGGGTGGAGCCACCCCAGTTCAGGACATCCTGGAGTGTATTGGAAAGCAGGCTGAAGAAGCAAAGAGGAGCAAGCCATTAAGCAACATGTCTACACAGCTTCTGCCTCAGTTCCTGCCTCCAGTTCCTACCCTGACTTCTCTCAGTGATAGTCTGTAAACTCTGAGAGGAAATAAACCCTTTCCTCTCTGGTTTGCTTTAGTTCCTATGTTTTATTACAGAAGCAGAAAGCCATAAAGCCAACTAAATAAAAGAAATGGACTGATAGAATCTCTCCTCCCTCAATTTCTCCCAAGTCCCCTCCTTCCAACTCCTTCCATGACTTCCCCCACTACTCTCACATTAATTGCCTCTTTTCACTTACTCTTCTACGTATAGACATATATGTATGAACAACTGTGTGAATACGGCCTGCTAAGTCGGCTTTAGTTGTTTGTGTGTATATGATTTCAGGGCTGCTCCTTTGCCTTGACTAACCACTTAGAGGGCTCATCCCTGGGAGAGGTCATTTCCCCCTCTTTCTGTAGTCACTACTTGCCCACAGTTCTCTGTCTAGGAACAAAATAAAGCTCAGACTGAAAATCCCAGTACATAGTGTCTCTCCTTCCATGGACACTTTACCATCTCTCCATTATCTTGTCTGGTGATATGGGCAAATGGTCAGATCTCATTTATGCAGCCAGTTCTGTGAGTGACTGTTTCACAGCAGACATCCTGGTATTGAGGCTATTAAAATCTTTCAGCCCCTCTCTTCCCCTGCATTTCCTGAGTCATAGATGCAGGAACTGTGATGTAGATGTAGGCACTGGGGCTGTCCTTCCCATGAGCCATTGTTCTCTGCATCCTGCCTAAGTGTTGCTTCTCTGATGGTCTCCCTTTGCTGTAGACAGAGGGTTCTCTGACTAGGGGTGGTAGTCACACTTATATAAGGATAAGATTAATAATGCGGTTTGAATTATTCCAGTCTATCATCGTGGCAATTGTAAATTCTCTTCTAAGATACATAACCTCACTAGCCAGCC